ATAAAGCAGAAATGAAATAAATCGAAAATTTCATTTTTTAAAAAAATCGGGCGTTACTTTCCGAGGCGACTGTACATATACCAATCTTTGTGTTAGTTGTACATGTACATGTAAAAAGTCGATAAAATAGTTCATTATGATAAAGAGCAGAGACAACTATCAAAAACATATGCATCAATTACGACAATTACGTACATTAAATCCAACTAAAACAGTTACAGCTATCGCTATCGATATGGAAATTCAACAATTTCATCGAACCTAACATTAATATTTGAACCTGACACCATTCTTTTTCCGGTTTGTCTTTTTATAGTGACAAATTCTCCAAGTTCTTCTGACACTTCTACTAAACTAGTTCTGATAATCAGCCTTGTCGGAGTTATTGTATTTTGCTTGGAAAAAGTTCAGAAAAAGAGGAAAAACTACCCTTATTTCCAATTGCTCAGCAAGAAACAGATGCTTACAAAGTAATAACTAATGATAGGATATGAATGTTTTATCTCTCCTAATTACTCCGTTAATAATTCGTCTAAAACTTGATAGATTCATTATATCAAACTGATTTTATTAGACTGCGAGTTCACTATATCACAGGGTCACTATATGAGAGTATCTTTGTATTTAGATTCACGTGTATTATCAAGTGTCATATAATTAAAGTTGCCCATAACTGGGGAATTATTATAACGATAATAAGTTCATGAACCGTGATGTTCATAGACTAGAATCAAATTTTATACATGCCTATATTTATTGTTGACTGGCCAAGTCGAAACTAGTTACATAAGTTATCTATAATTATCAACTCGATGTTACCTAAATGCTAAACTGCACGTTGAACAAAAAAGAAGTTCAATGTGATAGGATCGAATATTTCGAGGAATTTTGAATAGTGATATAGACAATCCAAATGACACAGTAGCGAAAGATTTATTGCGAATTTTTGCCAATTATTCTAAAATGCACTTTTTTTATAACGATTGTTTATACGATGGATCAACAGGAAAAAGAATTGCTTAAGCAGGTGGCATTACTTTATTTTTTGATATAATTTTTCCGTCATGCCTGTCGAGAATCAAATCTTCATATGCAAAGGAATCTTAACTATTGCATCATGAACCCAATTAGGGAATAGCTGGTAGTTATGTGCCTTTTCCATGACGTGCTGCATTGACTTCGATAACAGGATTTGGGCACGGTTTATTCTACGAATCAAAAAAGCAAAATGTGAAAATTCTAGCTATGAAGAGTTTAAAAGCAAATGAAAAGGGTGAAAGGTACATTCCCATCACTTTCATACGAAGTTGCTGCTAATTTTTCGGGCGAAATGATTCATCGGCTTCTTTTCCAAAACCGCTACCACGAGTTTCTTTAAGCAATCAAGGTTAATTTGATGCTATAAACATTAGACATTAGACACAGAACAAAGAAGGCTAATAGTTAATGTTTAGATCTCGGCATCGACGCGGGACCACAACACTTTATTAAAGTTTAAAACGGTGGTTTTGATGGGAGTAATATTACTATTAGACCATTCCTCCGCAAGCATGTGTGCCTTCAAGTAGAAAAAAATGGACATTACTTACCTCTCATTGTCCCAGTCCGTCATAGGATGGAGGCTTCCTTAACCCTACCATAGGCGAACTTGTTCGTGCTTAGAATGTTATGTTAAAAAAACGACAAGGAAAAGGAATTTGTGATCTTTGCCAGCAAAACTAGGTTCCAATCATATGATTTATATAGTCTCGGAGGGTCATTTTGCTGGTAAAAATTCCATTTGTGTTTTAGACACCGAAGGCAAATCAACTTGTTGGGAAATTATCCTCCACTTTCGAATTGCTTCTCCAGGAATTTTGCGCGCCGGTTGTAAAGTTCCTTAATTTCTCACGATAACGAATCCGTCTATCTTGTGTGTCAGAATCTTTTAATAAATATTGGAACGTAGAGGTTACTATATTCTTAGCAAGAGCAAATTGTTGTTCTCGAGAACATCGGGTATTCCGTAGTGTCCCCTTTAAGCGTTTCGGTTTACGCTATGTGAAACAGCGATACAAAAACTGGAACAGCAAGCAGTTTTTTGCGTCTTGTCATCAATCAAATCAAACGGTAGCACCTTTTGACCATTTGGCGTGGCTTTATTTTTGGATGTTATAATTTCTAATAACTTTGTATACTTTTATAATAGTCTCGTGAATTCACTTTCTGAAGTGTCGAAAGTATTGCTGAATGTTTAGCCAATGAACTCATCAAATATTGCTAGTAAGTTATTATATCTTATTGCCTCAGATTAAAGAGCAAATAATTGATGATTTATAATTTACTAAAGGAAAGTTCAAAAAGAAGGACGAACTAGAAAAAGCACGTTATCGTCATTGTTGTGTTGAAGAAAGCCATATTACACTAAGTATTTTACATGAAAAATGATATACATTATGCCTTGATGCATTAAAGGAAGAACCTTTTATTATTAATAACAAGGAAATCCAAGCCAGTTACGACACTCTTTTTCTTCAAATACTTTGTATACCAACGAAGCATCATGTGATAATCCACCATAGTACCATACCCATTTTTATAACAATCTGCGACGTACGAAAACGCAGCTGGGTACCCAGTCTCTGTAGCCTTCAGATACCAAAACAACACTTCACGCTTATCACAAAACTCGGGGACATCTCTTCTCTTTATCACGTGCGCCAAATTTGACTGTCCCTGCGGATGACCCAACTCTGCAGAAATACGATAATACCGAATTTCCATTCGCAAATCACACTGCTTAACACCGATAGCCCATCCATAACACATTCCTGTTTGATTTGCCCCAAACCCGTCGCCCATGTCCGCAGCTAACTGATAATATTTTAGTGTTTTACGTGGATTATACTTAGTACCGATTGAATAGTTGTAAAAGAAGGCGAGGAGACAAGCGTATTGTGGTATGTGAATGCTGTTTCGTAAAAGTTTGAAGAGATGTTTGGATGTGGTATTTTTTGTGATGGTCCATTGTTGGATGCGTCCGACTAGTTCGTCGTCGGATCCATCTTGGAAGGTAAGAGCGTGAACTAGGTCTGCTAGTTCGGCGAGAAGTGATTTGGTTGTGTCGGAATAATGGTCATAGGTTTTCTTACATCTTTCTAATTTTGATTTATAAGTTAAAATTGTAGAATCTTCTTTTTGTTTGTTATTGTTGCTGCTGCTCATGTCGGCGGGATTTTTAGATGATGATGGTGTGGGAGTAGACGACATTTCTTCTTTAATAGAAATAAATTATTTATTTTAGGACTATAAATTTATATAACGGTAAATTAATTTACTTGCCTGATACTTCCATCTGTTGTTGTTGCTGTGGTGGTTGTTCTTGCCGCTGTTGTTGATTTTGTTTTTTTCGACCAAACCTTAAACGAAAAACCATATCAATAACGATAACGTTAAATTTACACCAAATGCGTTATCGTATTATTATTATGCACATATATTTATATCGATACTTGATGCATAGATATTGATGTTACGTAACGGTTATAGTAATGAGCTACACAAATTCTTTTTAAGATACATGAACATGTAACACACGTAATACACTATTCTCTGTTTTTTGTATTTTGGTTAAATTTCAACAAATGGAAATTTGTGAAGAAAACGAAAAACAAAAAAGCAATGAAAATATAAAAGAAAAAGGAGACATTTACTCGATAAACATAGAAATTAAAGAAACATCATCAATAGCAACATCCATAACAAATTATTTCAATAATAATGACATTGACAATGAAAGAAAAACTAATGTTAATTCTTACTTCTCACTGGAATTATTACGCGAAATCTTTCTATATTCAGTAAATCAAACAGGAGACGATCAATTAACCGTCACACGACTTAAATCATGGCTCGATCAAGTAGACATAGCTTCTGAAAAAGTATTCGACCTAGTCTACCAAGAGCGATTTCAGCCTGCCTACGGTTGTCTCTTGGGATTTTTCTATCACTACGGTCTCGGATGCAAAATCGATAAACCGACAGCCGTGAATTGGTATCGAATAGCGGCAGAAGGTGGGGACACATTTGCACAAAACCAACTCGGGTGTTGTTATTATGAAGCGATAGGGATCGAGAAAGACGAGAAACAAGCATTTTACTGGATCCAGAAAAGTGCGCAGGGTGGTGATCTGAGCGGATGCGCTAGTTTTGGGCAATGTTATTACGACGGGACAGGTTGCGAAATACATAAAGAAAAAGCATTCGAGTGGTATCTAAAGTCGGCTGTTGGTGGATTTTCTCCAGGGCAATATTGGCTTGGACATTGTTATCAGATGGGATTCGGAACAGCAAAAAATGAAAAGGAGGCTTTCAAGTGGTACATGAAAGCTGCGGAAGGTGATGAACCTGAAGCACAAACTAAAATTGGGTCTTTTTATTTGCATGGTATTGTGGTAGAGACGAACCCTGAAAAAGCATTCTACTGGTATGAGAAGGCGACTGAGAAAGGTGATAATGTTGGGAAAATTTGTTTGGCGGATTGTTATCGAAATGGAAATGGTGTTTCTGTTGATGATGAGAAAGCGTTCACATTGTTTAAAGAACTTGCCAATATTGGAAATTGGTATTCGCAAAATGAGGTATTTCTATGTTCCAATATATCTGCAATTGAAATTGCGGTAGGTTGGAAATTCCCCATCGAAACTTTGTAAAATTAACATTCGAATTGATTTGATTTCTCAGGTTGGATATTGTTATCACCAAGGAATAGGCACAAAACCTGATCCACGAAAAGGATTCTACTGGTATCAGAAATCGGCGCTCGGCGGTAACAACACTGGCATGTTCAATCTTGCAAATTGTTACCAGTTTCAATGGGCCACCTTGCAAGATATGCACCAGGCGCTGAAATGGTATCGATTATCTGAGAAAAATGGGAATGAGAGTGCCACTAGGGAAATTGATTGTATATTTT